TGTTTTTTTAAATAAATGCAAGCATCATAAATACTTAAGCATCATTTTTAGAAAAAGACATATTGATGCCTCTACAAAATGAAATCTGGACGAGGCAGCTCTAACCACCACAGCTGCCTACAGATATGTCAGTAAGACAAAAATCGCCACTTTCGGCAAGACTCAGCAAAACGCAGAAATGCCAGTAGAGGAAAGATCAGCTGTAACAGGCAGCAGTAATCAGAAGTTGGTAAAGAAAGTAACACATCCTAATAGCAGCACTGGACATAGTAATTGAAATCAGAATCTATTACAGAAACACAAAATCTGCATAACATTTGTGCAGGACTTCACATCTCTTGACAGTTTTGAGGCACAAGTGCCACTTGAAATAAATTACTAACTAAATATAATAGCATGGATTATTTCTCATCTCAAATCACCAGAGATTTTTAAAATAAGCTTATAAAATTTATCAACTTCACTGGGCTCCAACAGAGGAAACTAATAACAGCTTCAACAGACTCCTGGAAGCAAGTTTTTAAGTGTCAAAGCAGCACTCTCAGTAGAGACAGAAATAAAAAAAAAATAGTGACATGAGTATTTTTGAAGGAATATAGACAATCTAGCCCCCTGTTGTGGTTTGAGGCTTGGAATGGGGTCGTGACCTTCTAGCAACTGGGAGGACCCCGGGTGGGAGTGAAACCATTGTATTCCCTCCCCTTCCCACACACACTCTGATAAGAGGCAGGGAGTGGTTTCTTATTTCACTCCTGCCTTGGAGCTCGGAGAGGGAGGTTGTCCTTTCACTCCGTGGGACCCTGGAACCATTTCTAAGGGTTTTGTATATTTTATTTCTTGTATTTTTCCCCTAATCTTTGTATATATTATTTTCCTTACCTCCCTTTTTCGTTTTCTGTTCCTTGTTGAACAATATACTTCATTTTTTTTCCAAAGTCTCTCTCTCTCTCTCTCTGGGGGGCGAGAGGCGAGTACATAGTTCTGTTCCATGTGGGTCCTGCCCTGAACCCCTTTTTACATGGAACCAGGACACCCCCTGTTGTGTTTCTGCATTAAATCTCTGCTTCTCAGAAACATGTAAGCTTTGGAGCACTGCTATTAATCAAAATTCATCTACAACACCAAGAACCTGCAGCTTTGAAAACTGAAATATAAACTGTTAACCAGGACAGAGATAAATTATTCTAATCCTCCTCTTTCAGCTGTTTCAGGAAAACCTCCTCTTGTTCTTACCAGCTCAGTTTGATGTTATTGGACCATGTTCCCAATGCTCTCCCCCACCCTGCTCCATTCCAGGAGCACCAGAAGGGCAGCTTTCACTCTTCCCTGCTTCTTGCCCTGTGCATTTGGATGTTGTCCCATTCCAAAATTGCTCTCTAAGTAGTTTCTAGACCTTCCCAACTTCCGTAACACTTGTATCATCCCCAATCTACATAAAAATGTAGCTTGCCATGATATTCTTTCTATCACATGTCTCATAAGTCATGAGCTCTACTAAAGCCTTTCAATATACTTACTTTTTTTCTCCTGGGCAAAAATCAAGTCCTCATCTTCCATCATCTTTGATTATTTCTTTCATGTCTCAGGTATCCCTTCCCCTCTGCTGGATCACTTTAATTGCTTCTACCATACTCAAAAGACTCTATAAGCAGCATATACAACTATTAAATATTAGCTAATCATGTAATCAGCACATAGACAGGTCTGAGTTTTATTGAGGATTTGGCTGAGGATGTTATAAGCACACACAGCCAGACTGAGACACATCATCTTCTCTGCTAGTATTTGTTATCCTTGTTCAGGGAACAATGAAAGCCTACTTGAAAACACTGAAACTTTAAAACTTCAAATGGACACCTCCTGGTCTGCACCTAAAAGCCCTCCTCACTCAATACCACAAACGTTCCATGAAAACATTGTCAACACTACAGGGGAACTGGAAGTTCTCTGTGCAGTAGTTCACCATCTTCATATTATTTAATACCTGCATAGAATCACATTAACCCACAACAGAACTTCTCCTCAATGAAAATGTAGTTCCCTGTCTATTTATCCCACAGAATTACAGCCCAGTGCCTATTTCTAAAGCTTAAAGTCATACCTACAAATGAATCCATCCATTGTCCTCTGAAACTAATCATCCCTGCCCCCACCCAATAAAAGAATTCTGCCAGGAAGAAATCTCTCTTGAAATACGTTATTTTTTTCCCAAAGAATGGGAATTCTGTAGCACGTAAGGACTCAAGAACTGAGAGCTTCACTCCTTTCAACTCACTGTTTTCCTGGTTTATACTCTGATTTCAGTTGAGCAAAACCACACATCTGACACTTTTTCCTGGTCCATTCAAGTTTCCAGAGTCTCTGTTCAGTTCAATGTATCCTTCCAGGCTCCTGTCTTCATTCACATGCCAGTTCCTGGCATCTCATCATAACTTAAAATCTTAGCCCCTTACAGCTAAAATAAAATAACTTTTTCTTTAATTTGATCAGTCAAGTAAGTGACTCGTATCTAACATATTAGAAAGAAACTTTAAAGGAAGGATTTTTCCTCAAAGAGCACAACAGTTCTGACACATACTCTCAGTTTAGGGAAATGAGAGTGGTTGTCTTTTTTGTTCCCCAGTAAAATTATTAGCCAGAGTTTTTTTCCATCAAATTCCCCTTCCAATCCCTATTACTGTATGATGGGAATAAGCAGGCAAGGTGGGAAGACAGGAGGGCTGTTCTTTCCTCAGCAGTGCTCGCTTTCAGTGGTTTGAAGCACTCACATACACACAACATGAGCCATTGAAAGAGACAGGCTACTGGCCTGGACTGAGAGTTGAACCCATTCAATAGAACCATGTGGTTCGTTAGTTAAATTAAGCTGAAGCTTTGACAGATTAAAAAACAACATGAGCAAAATCTTGGGCAATAAAGGTTTTTCTATTCCCTGCAGCTAGGACTTCTCACAAGATTACCTGGCTATTGTGTCAAAAATGCACAAATAATATAATTATTATTAAGGCCTGTAAGAGAACTGTCTCTGGTGGTTTGGTTTATACTTAATCTAACCATAACCAAATATATCTGTGCTGAAATATTTATCATTTCTCTCCTACCAAAAGACTGAAATATTTTTTCCCCTTCTCTCACCTTATTATGTGAAGTCCTTTAAATCACATCTCTCAGGATTACACTAACAGCTGGCACCTGTAACAGGACTGGAATTCAATCACAAAAAAAAGCCCATTTAAGCTAACACAATTGTTTAAACACAGACTCAAAGAATGAAGTTCCTAGCAAATGCTCCCAATGCAAAACAGCACCAGCAATGCCAAAAAGGAATTTTAATGAAAAATATAATGCAGTACTACCACAGTTACTTGTTGACACATTTTACAAAACAACAGAAGAAGAAGCAGATAAGACAGAACAAAGATATAAAATACTTGGAAGTTTTTGTTAAATACTTGTTAAAATCTGCCATTGAAATTAGCAGTGCAAATAAATAAAAAGCTTAAAATAAATTTTGTTTCAGTTACAGAATCTGCCAAAACACATAGTTCTCATCGTCAGCCAGATAAACTTTACACCAGCTGAGGAAAACCATGATAATGAACCACCATTAGCCCCCATTTCTCCAGGGCAGAAAACAGAGTTTTAATTCCTGGCTGTTAGGACAAGTCAGGAATCTTACCCTCGTCACTGTGTGGGATTCTATCATAGACAATATAAATATCTAAATAAAGATTATGTCACAAATCAGCATCAGAATGCCTTATCCAATGGAAATTTCTAAACGTTACAGAAGGATCAGATTACTTCCAATTTATAAACTAATTTTTCATTTACAATGAAGTGTAAAATAGCAGTGTAAAACAATCCTAAAATTCACTGCCAAAAGAGCACTAAGGGCCCTTAGGTGAGGCAAGGGTTGACAGCAGAGGGCACTGACATTTCACAGGCTGTTTAAGTATCTCACCAGTCCTCAATTGGAGGTGTAAATTATTTATGTCAACGCCTCATTTATGGGATCAGATCACAGGGTACCATTGTAGAACACTTTCCATCAAGCCTTTTACAATTTTTCAGTTTGACCCACAAAGTAAAAGTTTAATTTATATGCATTTCAAGCCCATAATTTACCATAAAGTCTAAAAATAACAGAAGACTGGCCCTGTTCTTAGATAATACTTAATCCACTTTGAAGATGGAGAGACTGAAAAATTTGTGCATGTCTTCAGAGAAGTGTCTGGTCATCAGACCATGACATTCAGTTGAAGATGTTCTGTACAGTCCCAAAATGCTCTGGATCCAGCCCTTATATCCCTCCAGAAAAGGGCAACAGCATACTTTCAACCTGTAAGTCACGTATCCAAGCATGAATAAGTAAAACTCAGCGTTTACTCTACAGACCGCACCTCCAGCAACTGCATGCCCTTGTACTGCATTTCTTCAACTTCTATATTTTTCAGCAGAACAACAAAGTTTATAGGGCATTATACTGGCATTTAAATTTTTATCCAATTATTAACCTGTAAAAACAAGACATGAATCATGCATGCATCGTTAATTTCTAATAGGCTTCCTGTTAACAAAATCTGAACATGCATGCATTGTTTAGCTCTTAATCTCTTTGGAGTAAAATTCTGTCTGGCTGGCTCTTTCATATACTTTTTTTTCCAAAACAGAATGGCATATCAGTCTGCATTTCTCCGCAACTCAGATCTGAAGCTCCTCTGTCCCCTAAGTTGCAGAAGTGGTCTTGCAATGTTAAACCCACATTAGATTTCCAAGTTGTCCAGAAGAAATGTGCACTCCCTCCACAGTTCCATTCTTCTGGCGTTGAGATGTATTTGGTCCAGCATCCTGCCAGCGTCCAGACACCGAATAAACAGAGCAATGGTTGTTTGGTTTACCTACAGCAGAGAGAAAACAAGTCCTACATCAACTGAGGAAGAAAAAAATGACTTGTTTTCTCCCCAAAAAAAACATACAGTAAGTAATCTTGCTCTCCTACGTTTTACTCCTCATCCTTTTAAAATATTAAATTTTCTCAACCATTATCCCAACATAATAATGCTCCACAAAATAGTTTTCCCCTCATTTCAGCATACACAGTAGAAAACTATTTTAAATGGCTTACTGAAAGTTATCACATGAAGAATTTGTTTTTCCATGCTCAAAGCCTTTGTGATGCTACTGTTCGTTTCCTAATGCCGAATGCACAGGAAGCTCAGAGCTGAATAAGGTAAGGTGCCTTTTCAAGGTTTTTTTTGAAGCTGGCTGATCACAGAACTTGACTTCGATGTTGCCGTCACTGAACGCCTCCCTCCTGGGCTCCTCTGCATCAGCGGGACCTCTGCGACACACACCTGCCCTTTGCTGCCTCATACTAATCCCCGAGCTCCCAAGCTGCCTGCCTGGGGATGCATTTTTTTTGACAATGCAGAAGCAGATGGCAGACAAAAAATTTTTCTTGAAGTTTTCATTCATAAAAGCATAGACAATAGGGTTGCAAATAGAATTGAAGAATCCTATAATTTGGACGATTGCAAAGATCATTTTGACTGTCACATCATCATACTGCTTCTCAAAATTACCTGGAAATGAAAAAGGAAATATGCAGTGAGCAGAGAATGGCATAAATGCCTACTACTGAGCCTACTTATATCGTCTGGCATTAGAAGCTTTTATTCAAAATCAATAAAAGGCCTTGCTGAAGGTTCCTAGTATTAACCATAGGGTTTCCATCAGCAAGGAAAAACCAAGATGCACCACATAGCCCTGCTTTGTATTTATTTGAATAACAGAGTCATTCAAAACTGGCAATTTATGAGCCAAAAAAACTTGCCCAAAGGCCAAGCAAGAGAAAGCCTCCAGACTGCTGAGTATAGGTCTGGTTTATACCAGTTGTTCTTCTGGCTCCGAGTTCGGTGTCCATAACACCTATGTCACTTGTCACTGACCACACACGGCTTCTTACTCTGTGCTGACACAGATCAGCTCACAGAGGTAAAAACCCATCTTCCTGGTCACACCTCTCACTCTGTAATTGCTGAGATCACAGAGGACTTCAAATTCCTTGAATTCAAATAGTCATTGACCAAAGTCTGGATAAATACTACTACAAAGTTTTACAAGGGAAGTAACATAAAAGCCTTGCAGCACCTCAAATAATTCCTCAAATTAGAACTGAAAGAGAGCAAGCCATTCATGGAATGTTATGGGCAACCTCAAACATTGGACAATCCAGACAATTTTAATAGTTATAGCTTCTGCTCTTCTGATTCTGCCCAGGCATAAACATCACTTCATTCAGCTGACTGCCTGCAGCACTACTGATTAACCTGCTACAACCCTTTCTGTGATAGAAGACAAAGAAGCAGCTGCTGCCTTTGGCAAGTAGAGTACAACTACTGGAAACTTCCCCTTGTCCCTACACAGGGGATGGGAGATCAACAGTGCAAAACCCCAGAGAACAGGGCAAACAGCAAAAAGCAAAGATGACCAGCATTAAGGTAATTTCCAAGCTAGTATCCACCCCAGGCCACTAAACAAACTCATCTGGATTCATTTGGCATCAACACTATGATGTCCACTGTTTGTATTTCCAATATGCCTACATCATTAAAACCACAGCAAGTGAAGGGATAAGTATTCCCTAACAGTTTAACTCACAGCAGTATTACAACTTCAGTGGAAGCAAATAGAAGCCTTCACACATACATTAAAATTAAATCTGAATTAAAAGAGACTTGATCAAGAAGTTTTATATTTGGAAATTAATTTTACCTTCAAGCAACGTATTTCTGACCTTTCAGCAAATGAAGGTAGCAAGAAAAAGAAGCTACAGAGATATGCTCTCCACCCTAATAGTCAAGTTTTGGTTTTTCTTTAGGCTTCGTAAACCTCCTTTTCAGGACTGAATTATGTGCTGTACAAATTCAGAAGCAAGACAGACTTATGCTGGGAAGGGTTTACATTCTAAAAGAGCTGGTAAAGAGCTCAGGTTCCCTCCCACTCACCCTGCAACAAAGTAGGGTTTACAGCAAGACAGACTTATGTTGGTTTTTTTCCTTTAATTCATGTGAAGAAGAGATATAAATGGCATGTAAGTTTATTTCAGATAAGGTATCTCTCAAACACTCCATTAAAGGACCCTTCCAACCTAAATAATTATACGATAACATTTTTTTAAAAAAATACTCATTTTCCATGAGCACTGAAGATCTTTTATCACTCAGACTTCAGAATAATTGATCTGTTGTTGGCTCTGCATCTTAATTACAAGACAGTGATCCAGGATTCATAGGCAGGGCATTAATCTTTGCTATAGCTGAATGCTGCAGCAGCAGCTTTTCACTGCCTGTAGTTCCATTAGAGAAAATAAACTAAGAAAGGCTTTATTGTATGATGCACTGCGGATACTCACTGTATTCTATCATCATGTGAATCACATGGAAAGGGGCCCAACAGACTGCAAAGAGAAACACCACTGTCACCATCATAACAATTGCTCGCTTCTTCTTCCTGAAATTGCATCAAGACATTCCATACTCAATCACTATGAACTGACTGGCAATTAGGTCTCTTCAAGTTAGGTTTGTAAACGTGTTCTGATGATTGCAGATGCAAATGAGGACGGAAGAATGCTCATAAGTACACAGTTCCCTTTGAAACAAAAAAGGCGGCATCATACGCACCTAGTACACCAATTAACACATTTTATTTCTCTCCCCTGGGAAAGCAGCTACAGCCAGCAATTACATTAGCATATCATGGAAGGCATTTTCACTTTATTCAAGCAGATGCAATCCCAATGGTAAAATATGTGAGGCACAACAAAAACAAAAAGCTTCATGAAATTCCACAAATAGCTCAAAAAACAAGAATCCTTTCCTAGATCTGGGAGCACAGACCATACCTGCAGCACCTGATTACACAGAGTTTGACAGAGAGTAAGTGAAACCAGCAACATTCAGCCTCAGCTGGTAGGTGAAGTGCTAGAATAAGAGCAAGAAACACACTCCCTGCCTTCACTGTAATATCTGAGAAACTCAACTGAGTACATATGAATTTATCATCATCCCAAAATTGATATATAATTCATTTAACTACATTTTAGATCCCAAGATTCATCTCTCATCTGAGCTAAAGCAGCAGCAGTTCACTGGTAGCAGTTACAGGATCTCCTCCCCAATGTGTGAAAATAAACTGAGGAGTAGCCCCTGAAGATTACATGCCACCTTAACTCCTGTAAGACTGCACCTTCTTTCAGTTTTGACTTAACAAGGCCCTGCTTCCCTATGCACTTAGACAAATATCTAAGGAATCACTTATCTTTAGGCTCCTTGTCAGTATTCTCCTTACAGTTGATATTTAAGGTGATGACTCTCCTCAATGAGCAGAGCTGTTCAGAGGTTTGTATCACATGAGGCAACCAATCAATTTGCCAAATGAAAGAGAAAAACATGAGGCAATATTAAATGCAGCCAATATTTAGTGCTAAATAGCCAATTTGATAATTACTGATTTCATAATTTTCAGATAGAACATTACCATCTGGATAATCTCACATAAGCACACCTGAGGAAAGTCAAAACTCTTTGGAAGCTATACTGAGTTCAATTGTACCAGGGCAGTCTTTTAATTAATTTTGCTCTTTTTCCCCATATTCCAGTTTAACTTACGACAGGATCATAAAGCAGTGTTCAGTCTCAGAATTATGTAAGGAACTTTCCACAGAACATAACGAAATAATATAACAGTATTTTCCCCAAGTTATCTTCTGACTCATGGCCTACATCTTTAAAAAACAAGCATTTCACAATGTATAAAAAGGCTTTTTAAATATCTAAAGGCCTTGACTTCCAAGGTGTGGCTACACTATGAAGAAATCTATTTAAGTTGCCTTAAATTGGGTATCTAAGTGTTAAATAACTAGCTAGCTTTAAAAAAGTGGTCTATGCTTATAGTCTTCCAGCTGGATAAGGAAAGACAGATTTTTATTATTTTTTGCTCTGGTTTACAAGAACTGCCCAAAAGAAAGAAAGCTTTCTAAAAGTCAAAGTTCCAATTGTATCTTACTTTACAAACCTTGATATTTTAGACATCTCACTCCCATGAATGGTTTGAAGAACTGAAGCATCTCCCACTCGTTTCTTAATCCAGAGTTCATAGCCAATTTTAGTGTACAAAAAAAGCATCAACATCAGTGGAAGAAGGAATAGTATAACAAGAATAAAGGTCGTATATATCTTCTGATAAATTGGACTGGCCCATTCTTCCAAGCAGCAAACATACACTTTTTCATATAGAAAGTCATATTTAACCTGTAACCAGGGTAAAGCAGATGAGTCACTACAGTGGTTACCCCAAGTGTACAAACCAAGCACATTCAAATATTTCTTGCTCTTAATACAACAACTAAAATTCAACTGAGAGACTTCTCAAAGTGATAAAATTCTTCAAAGCACTTCTCTACATCAAATGTTGGGTTGATCCAAGCTGACAAAAGAGGTCAGAAGATGCTCTGATTTGCACTCCTCATCAAAAGCAGTTAACTACATTTTAAGCTAGGTACAATTCTTTCAGGTCTCAGGAACACTGTGTCATCCTGAATCAGTAACCTAAGCCCTGCTCTGCTGTGTGTCAGTGCACCTATAAATCTAACGAAAGCAACAGAGGCAATCATAGATGTAATTACTACTCTTTGACATGACTGAGGAGAGCAGACACAACTGGTCCCTGCTGGTGGCAGTCCTTCCAGTGCACACAAGCCCTAATCCTTAGCCTTTGTCACACTGGTACACAAAACAAAAGCTCCACTTCTCTTATCCTGCTCTCATTTCTTCAGTTTATCCAGTTCCATTGCTAAAGGTACAAAATGATCTAGCAAGTATTGAGTTTAAAGTGTAAATTCCCATTTCACTTTAACATACCTCAAGCCGTTGCACGTGCCACATAGGTGACCCAACAATAAGTGCCAGCATCCAGACTATGCCTGAAAACAAATGCATATTTTATACTTTGTACAACAAGCAGCATAAGCTTTGGCATGAATAGTTCAGCAGTTTCACCTTTAAACAGCCAGGCAAAGTAGATAATTTAAATAGAGAATGAAGTTTTCTATACGAGGCATACATTGGTCAACATTCACATCGATAACATTCTCTTTTGTTATCACTTTTCTTTCTCTCAAACTACCTTCGTTTATTGGTATTCAAGTGTAAAGGCAACTAAATTTTTTATAAGTAGCATTATGTATGGGTTTTTTTGTTATAAGGAAAGCACCATTTACAACTCTCACATTGCTTTCAAAATCTTTGACTTGAGATTCTAAGTATACTGTCAGGCTTGTGGCTAGTGATTACCACACATACAGGCACTATACTTGAGCTATTCTATAAAAGTTACCAGACTTATTAACTCTACCCCAAAATCACTGGTCATATCAGGGCCTTCTGTTCTGTTATGCCTTCTACACCAAAGATTATTTCTCTATACACACAATTATTGCAGAAGCCTAAAATCTTACCAAGCATCGTGAAAGCTCTTTTATTGGTGTACTGCCACTTCATTTTTAGGGGGTGCACAATTCCCTGATGTCTTTCCACAGCAATGCAGGTCATTGTAAGAATCTCAGTGACAATGGCAGTGGACTGAACGAAAGGTACCATCTTGCAAGCAAAGGCACCTGCAATAGTCAAAAAGTAAATTATGCAACTGTTGTAGCTCATGAAAAAGCTATTAATATCAGATGTCACCACTAAAGAGCTACTGTGCAAAAAGAACAGACTAATATTCTTGATTTTAACAGCACAGCTGCTACATTACTTCCTTAAGCTACTCATCAAATACAGCTCTCAACACTCTTTTCTCATACACACTATCAGCAAACCCAAGACTTCTAAGGACACACCTGCATGCTCTCTGTCAGTCTGACACTTCTTTCTCTTCCAAGCAAGTCTTACATAACTTGTTTTCAAACATGCCAAGCTACAAGGATATCTCATCACTTTTTATCTTGCTCTCCAGCTCTATGAAGGTCTTAGCGCTACCTGTTTAAACGTTTACCTTTTCTGCTGTTCCAAATAGATTCCTTCTGCTTATTTACATACCACTTCATTTGTACACTTTGACACCTAATATCCTGCCAAGCAATATATATACAGGCGTCTTCAGATTTCATTGCTGCTACAGCTCCCCAGAAGTACATATTCAATTCTTGGCATATTACTCATTCTCCATTACTCATCCTCAAGTCCCAACCATCTCAGAAGCTATGGTGTAAATCAGTCTCTCAAAAAATCTTAAGTTAATACTTTTCCCAACCTACTTCTCATTGACTCATTCTCCGACTGTATTTCTGACCCTGAGATAATTTTGTACATCTGCATTCCCAGAGTTCCCTCACGTTCTTACAGCTCACTATCAGCTATTCTTTCAGGAAGAGCTGGGGTTACTTCCCATACTTGATTATCATCAATTATGTCTGAGTAAAGGATAATTAAAATCAAAATAGCCAAAGAAATATCTGTTCCAATTTTAAGTCAACCTTTAAGATGCTATAGACACATCAGGCAATAAAAACATAGAAAAAGGAAAGAAAACAACCAGGAAATTATCAAAATTTACCTGCCCTCCATGAAGGGAATAAGAAACAGAGCAACTTCTGTCTGCTAGGCCAGGCTAAAAGCCACTGAACCTTATAAGAAGGAACTGGTTTGTTACTGGCCTCATCAGTTCTAGCTGCCAAAAAACAAACAAACAAACAAAAAAACCCAAACCATACCTCACAATTTTTTCTGTGGTTCCAAAAAGGGAAAGAAAGGGCAAGGGGCAAAAGACGGAAGTCAGGTACCTTTCAAGTACATATTCAACACTAGCAACATCACTGCACACACAGACCTAGCTTACATCAGAATAAAAATAGACCATGCAGCCCAATTTCAACATACTTGAATACACAAAAAGTGAGCACCTAAGTTATATGAAGGTAACTTAAAGTAGTAAAAGGAAGAGTCTACCTAATGCTTACAGATTGATCCTACTGAGCTTAATGAGTGACATTAGACTTCCAGAAAACTGAAACAAAAGGATGTTTTTCCTTAGACACAGGTGGCTGAAATAGAAACACCTGCTTAGAGGCACATGACACACATTTTGGTTCCTTGGTGGACTCAGTGACCAAAGCAAAACAGCCACATGCATTTTTATAAGCAAGAACTAGCATGAGATTCTCAAAAGGGCAGGAACTAGAAACTACTCAAAAAGCCTCTGTATATCAATAGTAAAAACAGAACAGTATTCCAGCCTCTCTGATGCTTCTCATGCCACCAAGCCCAAGGTTTCCAACTATCAACTTGTATTACCAGAGCGCTTCAGGGCTCTTTTGCTTGCCCTGAATTGTCACTCACCATACAAATGCTTCCTGTCTTCTGAAATCATGAGACACGAGTGTTTTAAATTCAAAACCTCACCAAGGTTAAGTGACTGTTTAGCAAGGAAATAACTCTCCTTTGCATGAGCATTTGAAACAGGTATGTTTGGGGAAAAAATAGAAAGAAATATGCTTAAAATGTCATGGCCAAATGAAAACTCATCAACTTCCATGGGAATCTGATGTCCAGATTGAAATTCAGCTCCACCATTCTTAATGTTTTTAAATGAGATCCAGTTCCAAGATACCAGGGTCATTTTGCTTGACAGAATAGGGAATGTCTCCACATAAAACCTGTTCTTAGTCTTCAAAGCCTTCCTTATGTTATTTACAAATGTATTCCAGCCATTCCAAACTGTTTAGACAAATACTTTCTCCAAGTCTTTTGGTACTATAAACTATACAGCCTGTGCTTCCCAACTACAGGCAGCTTTCGTACATGTTGAAAATGAGAATCAGTTATTGTTAAATAAGGTAACTCTTCCAGAACGGTGGCAGTTGGGTTGGGACAGGGTAAACAACAAGGAAAAAAACAACCTAGAACTATTACTTCAGAATACTAAAAGGCTCAGAGTGATCACACTGGTTACTCCAAAACAGAACATCTATACAGAGCTTAACTCTTCAGTAGATCTTTACAAAACACTGTCTCCAAGTCCATGAGGCCTAAACCACATTCCTTCCCAACAGAAAGCTCATTGTTGTTGAGCTGGAATTAGGTTATTGAAAGGACTTCCGAAGTCCTTTACTGAAGTCCAACAGTCATTTTATTCTTTAAGATTTAGCTGCCTGATGTCCTAAATGTTGATTCTTTTGCTCTGTTCCTTCAGATGGTTCCACACTACAGGTTCCCAGCATGACCTCACACAATCACCCCAGTCAGTTTGGACAAGCTCGGAAGAGAACTGGAGAACCACGGAAAGATGAGGTGAGAGTTGAGCTCTATTGGCTTCAAATAAATCTGATCCATCAATTAGAACAGTACATTCACTGCCTACAGGTAACTCCTGAAAACAATCAGTACTGTCCTCCTGCATTTCAGCCACACTGCAACTTCAATCCAACAACTTCACAATAGTTAGTAAATAACCATATTTTAAATTATATTGGAAAACAGTGGATGAAGGTTCCCTAAGGGAAAAAAAAAACAACTTAATACATGAATACATTTACAACAGCCTCTTACCCATCAAGAAGTCATCTCCTACCTTGTAAAAGAACTATATTTAATTCAACGTATACCTCACATTTTCATCATTAGCTGGCAAAATGCAAACCCTTTCTAGAAAAATAGCTATGAAGTGCAGATTCCAAAAAATATTAAAATGTATCTAAAACAATGTTTTTTAGGTGTTGACCTGCTTTTTTAAATCATTCATTATTAAAGCCACCTTCAGTGTCAAGTGAAAGAATTTAAGAGGAGCCTGATCATTCACTTTTTTCCCCACAAGCTGACCATCTTATTCTACTAATTCTTTATCTTAAATCCCTACAGCCTTCAAATCATTGAAAACAAACTGAAATCGTCATTTCCCTCCTCTTTCAATGAAGAGAAGTGCAACAAAAGCAGGAGAAAGAGTTGGCAAAAGATGCAGGCAGAATACACAGCTCCAGCAGGATTTGACAGCACCAGCCTGCCTGACACGTGCTCCCAGTCCGAGTCACGGGCTCTCAGAAGGGCAGTCAGTCTGCATGGCCTGCTCTGCTTCCCCAGGCACTACTGTTCACTGACCCAAAGCAGACTTCTCCTCTCCAGC